GCGGGCGGGGGGGGGTCCGAGCCCCCCCCAGACTCGAAGCAGAGACGCGTTTGGTTTTATCTGCATGTTTTAAGAAATGAGCAAATGAGCCTCCTCCTGCAGAGGGACGCCGCCAACATCTGGAAACGCCCATTTTACTTCTGCTCCTCTCATTTTCAGTGACCTGCCCCCCCCTCTTTCCTCCAGTTTGGGTTCTAATGTGAAAGATTAAATCTGAGATGGTGTTGTATGATATCTCTGGATTTTTGTATTAAAATCTAAAGGAAAAAAAAGTCGCCTTTCTTCCTTCGGGTGGATTTTTTTTTTACGATGAGACGCTTTTAATCGGAGGCCGAGATTCCAGATTGGTGGATTTATTTATCAGGATGGAGGGATTTAACAGGAACTCTGGTCAATTTAAACGATGAGTGACTAAATCCTCTCGTCCGCTCAACTTATCTGATGAGAAAACAAATCCAGCCCACATGTTCGGGAGCGATTTGATGCCTTTGCTGCTGACAGCCATTGTTCTGGTGGCAGAATCACCCGGCAGTCTGTAATCCAGCTCCATTTACTTTTGGTTAAATTACAGAAGCTCCATAAAAACCTACAATATAAAATATGACTTCGGTTTGAAGAGAGAGAGCTTAAGCAACTCCTCTTTTCAGTCTAATGACTTAAATTAGGAGCCGTTTCTTCATTTAACTTCAATTTAATTGCAGATTGAAGTAAGTGAGCATAGTTTTGTCTTTTTTGCCCATTCATGGCTCTTTGGAAAGATTTCTGCAGTGGTGGGCCGTCAGGGCCTGCAAGGCCTTCTCTGAAGGCCTAAGAAAATATCTGAATCACAGACTGATGTTAATGATATTTTGTCCATAAAAAAGGTATTAAATATCTCTAAATAGTCTGTCAGCTTCCTTTCATAGCTTCTCCCCTGGTTGCGCTGCTTCCAGACATGTATTTTCATATAAAAGCATTTAACCAATCACATTTCAGACATCCTTTGTCGCTAGGCAGGGTCAAAGTCAAAGATGTCTGCCTGGAGGCCTTCACAATCCGTTCTGCAGGCCCCCCCCCACAGAAAATACATGTCGAGTACACTGTTGCTTCAACCAATCAGATGTTAGGTTGGTGATGCCAGGGCCTGCGCGAAGGCCCAGGAAATGCCACCGTACCCACACCCGCTGATTGGATAGTCAGATATCCAATCAGGGCAAAGCTAGCAAACAAACCGAAATATAGTTGTGTTAGTTAGTGTAATAGCTATTTTATTATTTCGTGGCGGATTTACTGTCAAGACCATTTTCAAAACGGACTTTTCAAGAAAAGTAAGTGAGTAAAATGTTGTTTTTTTCCTAAATGGTATTGCGAGTTTATGAGGACATTATTGATGTTTTTGTTTTGTTTTTTTTTTTTTGGGGGGGGGGGGGGT